ACTGTTCGGCTCCTCCATTTGCTGTAAGTGCCATGGAGGGTTTAGGATGGTTTGGGTTCGTCATGGGACAGTTTAGGGTTTAGGGTTCAGGGTTTAGGGTTCAGGGTTTAGGGTTCAGCGTTCAGGGTTTAGGGTTTAGGGTTTAGGGTTTAGGGTCTAGCGTCGAGAGGAAGTGCTAAACCCGGTAATCTCAACAACGTAGCTGAGCGTGCTCTTGCCTTAAAGCCTAAACCGCAGACGATAAGTCGTAGGCCGTAGGCCTGGCCGTAAACCCTAAACCTCAGGCCCTAAGCAAAACCCTAAACCAAGTTCTCAAGTTGGACTCATGAGCGCCAGCAGGTAATGTAGGGGCCTTCATAATTAGAATATGGTTTAGGGGTATATTATACTATCATTACAAAATGTATAAGGAGCCCCCAAAAAAACAAAAACAACTATCGGCAAATATTTAAGCCCCGACATTAGCTACCAAAACACAGAGGTCTGGGTCTGGGTCCACTATCGTCTGCTAAGGCCGGGTCCTTCCTTCAAACCCCCCTGCATGACTGAAATCCGTATCCTATCAACCCTTACGATTTCTCGTCTTTTGAATGCCCCCAAATCCCTACTCCTAAACCCCTAAACCCTAAACCCCTAAACCCTAAACCCGAAAGCGCTAAACCCTAAACCCTAGATTGAGCATCGCACGCAGCACTTTCTGCCAGACAGACAGGACCTGAGACATAGCCATTGGTGCCGACGCCTGGCCGTAAAAGGGTTTAGGATTTGGGATTTTAGGGTTTAGGGTTTAGGGCTTGGGATTTACGGTTTGGGGTTTTAGGGTTAAGGGTTTAGTGGTATTTGTAACAAGCAGCAATCGTCGAGCCTGAAACCCTAAACCCTGAAATCCCAGAAACCGAAGCCTCCGAACACACTAAACCGTAAGCCCCCGCCGCCCTGAAGCCCCGAATGTAAACTTCCTGTATCTGACATGTGGACGAGATTGCTACTAAGGTTCAAGGTTTATGGTTTCAAGTATGGCCAAGCGAAGGCAGATTGCACTACCGGGAAGATAGTGAGTGCTTACCTATCTACGGACAATAAGAGCTTTATTTCAAGGGCAATGGGGGAGGGGTCCTGGTAAAGCTCAGGGTTTCGGGTGCAAGGCTCAGTGTATAGAGGCTGGATCTACCTGCAATAGACAAGTCTCAAAGCCATATGATTAACAGAGATGGTCTTTTGAAGGCTAATTCGGGAATGGTACAAGTAATACAGAAGAAACTCCTCTTAGCCTTTGACCTACACTACGGTTCGGCATTATGAGAACAACGCAGCACGACCAAAACGGATGCACAATGCAGAAAAACAGAAACAGCAACGACAACCAATAACGACAACATATGTAGTGTGCGGCGCCGGAAGATACCAGACTGAGCAAAACAACTCGACTCTGAAACCTAAAGACTGGAAACAGCAACAACCGAAACAGCAAGAAGACAAAGGCTTACATATGCTATGTTAGAGAGAGAGAGAGAGAGAGAGGGACCGAGACAAAGCCGCGAGAGGGTTTGCGAGAGAGACAGAGGAAGTATGCAGCATGAGCACATGGGCCCCCATCTGGAAAGGAAAGCAAGCACATGGATAAAGTCTGCTGAGTATGAGTATCATCACTCCCAAAGCAGACATGTCTCAGCATGAGAGCTGCCGGACTAAGGCGGATTCCACAAGCTCCGGAGGCTTCTCAGACGAGGATTCGGAAAGCCTGAACCCCGGCATTGGCACCGGAGAAATGAAATCAAAAAGCTGGCAAGGAGGCGCAGCAGTACGGTGTGGCATGTGCGAGGTACGGCCTTGAGAAAGACGCTTTACGGTTTAAACCCTAAACCCCAAGAGCACGAGGCTGAAAACTAGAACTTACACCGCTAAACTTGAACCCAAACCCTTGCACCCTAACCTGTAATCCCAGGCCTTCACAGTCGCCATGGCCCGACAGCCTAAACGATCTCAGTGAAGGTCGTCCAGTATCCTACCTAGACCCGGAGCCCCAGCTTTTGGTTTTAGGGTTTATAAGGCTTAGAGTCCTAGACAAGACAAGGTCTGTGCATGAGCTTCGTGAACTGCGAAGACAGGGTGTAAACGCTCAAGCCTGGATAAGGTCGAGATACCTTGCCAAGCCCACATATACTGAAAACAGTGACACCATGGCTCACTATGGTGGCAGTAATGACGGCCATGGTTAAGACGCAAACCGCGGCGCCATCGGAGCCGATCTTGGAACCCCAGAGACCCCATGGATCCAAAGTGCTACGACCTTATGCGCTCATGTTTTCGTCTTGCTCTTGGTGAAACCCAAATGGCTGCGTGGGCGTAAAGCACGTCTCAAGAACCGGAGGGGGTGCAGGAGGGTCTCGGGTTTAGTACACCGTAAAAAGCCATGATGCTTACAGGTTTTGTGGTTTCTGAAACACTGTGAACCCGAGGTGCAGGATATCGGGATTTTAGGTTATCATTAGCATGGCAAAATAGTGCACATGCAAAGGCTACAAATTAACACATGCATGCAGATAGACAGACAGCCAGGCAGGCAGGCAGACAGAGACAGACGGACAAATTCATATGTGCATGCATGTGCGGCATCCAGCATCCGAACAGATACCCCTAAACCCTAAACCCCGAAGCCCTAAACCCTTAAACCCTAACCCCAAAACCCACATGCGTGCTCATATTCCGCCTATCGACCTGTCTTCCTACCTTCGCGGATGAGAGCCTCTCAACCTCCCACCCGGTGGGCCCTAGACCCACTGGGTTCAGGGTTTGGGGTTTAGGGTCTACGGGGCTTATAGGGTTATAGGGTTTATAGGGTTTATAGGGCTTATAGTGCTTATAGGGCTTATGAGGTTTAGGGTTTAGGGTTTAGGGTTTGGGGTTTAGGGTTTACTACCCCCAAACCGAACAACCTAAAGCCTAGGGCCTAAGCCGCACACGCTAAAGCAATCGAAAGGGCTTCGGAAGAACAAATAAGCTTACTCCTCGGAGTTCATGACTCATATACTGTACTATAATATGTACCAAAACCATCGTCAAAGTACTGACGTTCCTATAGAATATAATAGGATACAAAATATAACACAATATGATCTAATATACATGTGTCTGAGCACACACACACACACATATATATATATATATATATATATATAAATACATAAATGAATATATATATATATATATAGAGAGAGAGAGAGATATACATATATATATATATATATATTTATTTATTTATTTATATTTATATTTATTTACACCTATTTACCTATTTATTTATTAATCCTTATGAACCCTAAGCCCTGAGCCCTAAGCCCTAAACCCGTAAACCCTCTGCCCTAAACCCCTAAACCCCTAAACTCCTACACCGATCAAGAACAAGCTTGGGCCTCGGTGCCCGGGGGGAGGACGACGTGGCGAGCATCGACACGCAGGGGGCCTGGGGGGCTTTTAGCCATGTGGGAGTTTCCGAAAACAGGGGGTTTAGGGCTTTAGGGTTTTAGGGTTTAGGGCTTTAGGGTTTGTTTTTATTGTTTTAGGGTTTTCGGGTTTAGGGTTTAGGGTTTGCGGTGCTGTATTTTGGGGTCCTTACAGTTTCAGGATCCTGCTATTGGGGTACTATATTATGGTCCCCTAGTTTGGGAAACCCCCATGTGGGTCTAGGGGATTTTACGGGCCTAAGGGTGCTCAGGCTTTGGGGGTTTAGGGTTTAGGGGTTTAGGGTTTTAGGGGCGTGGGTTAACGTTGTGGAATAAAATCAAGGCATAATTATCAGGGTTATCCTACCAACTACTGCTAGGGCTTGGGTTGTAAAAGAGTTGCCACAAGGGTTGCCGTCAGGGTTTAGGCTCAATAGGTGCCGTATTAAAATAAGGACCCAAAAAGGGACCATAATTTTGACAACCACCCAAATGAAGATGACCTATCATGGCTACTATAGGATTTAGGGTTCAAGATTTGTTTGGCTTGGGATCTGAAGTGCCCTTGTTGCTTCGGAGTGTCGTGTCGAAGGTTCCGGGGGCAAGGCCAGTGAGCTACAGAATCTTGAGGTAAACCGTAACCGTACCCCCTAAACCCTAAACCCTCAACCATAAACCTTATAAACCTTAAAACCTAAAACCCCTAAAATTGCACTGAAACGTATCAGCGGTTTAGGGTTGAGACACCAGGCTTCGCAGTTTAGCCAGCAGCCCAACCCTGTTACCCGATGACGTGGTATGGTAGTTATGGTAGTCAGTTGCTGGTTACATAATAATGACCTTCTTATCCTTATCCCACCCTAACCCCCCCAGGTACTGTAGGGGCCTTAATAATTAGAATGGGGTTTTGGGGGTTCCTTATGATAAATATAATATCATATACCCCAAACCCTATTCTAATTATTAAGGCCCCTATATTACCTACTATATAGGGTCCTAGAGCACCTAAACCCCTATAAAAGAAGGTACCTGGAGGTTAGTTTAGGGTTTCGGGTTTAGGGTCTAGGGTTTTAGGGACAACACGTCACATGATCAAGCCTCCCAAGCCTAGAACCCGACAGGACCACTAGAACAAAGCCATGTCGTCTTGAGCAGCGGACGCTTCGGCAACGGCGCCACGACTGCCGGAAAATGTGCAGCATGCAGCAGTGTATGGTGTAGTTCAGGATTTTTACGCTATAAGGTTCAGGGTATACTTCGTAAATGGCACCAGATCCTATGTTCGCAAAGCTACATGCAGCCTGCGGCGTTCACCAAAGCATACCGGGGCGTGGTGCATGGGTTAGCACTCTTTCAGAAACAAAGCATAGGTGATTTCAGGGTTCATCCGTTAAGCCTCTGCGGGCAGAGCAGCCCGATGTGTTTTTTTGGCAGAGTCGGACTCAGAAGAACAGCGCATAACCACCCGCACATGGGTAAAAACAGTCTAACCCTAAACCCTATAAACCCAAACCCCCAAACCCTAGCCTTCGCTATAAACCCAAACCCCAAACCCTAGCCTTCGCTATAAACCCAAACCCCCAAACCCTAGCCTTCGCGATCAGCGCCGCAGACGTTGCAGGAGGCCCGCGCGCGCTTGTTGTCCTGCGCACAACACCCATGGCGAGGTCGATGCAGGGTTTAGGGTTTAATATCGGGGCCTCAGTAATTAGAATACGGCTTTGGGGTATATAAAAAACTTTAGTTATAATGAAAAGCTCAAAATAGTATGGGTAACTATTTAGGCCTCTATATTATATTAGGGTTTAGGGGACATGCCATGAACCTTCTCCACCCGTGGACATCTCGATGCTTATCCTTCGGCAAACGACCCAGAAGACACCCAATCTCCGAGAGCCGTGGCAATATCTCGTGTTTATGTATGTATGCATACACACACATATATATATATATATACACACACATAATTATACATATATATATATACAGTATACGTATGTACACATACAAAGGTATCACTACCACGCACCCTTCGTACGCAACCTGGGCCTGACGTCTCTGTGCCACACAGGGTACGAGTAGAGACCGCAAGCCATCAATGATTCAAGTTAGGGTTTAGGGTTTAGGGTCCCTGTCTGACATTACGACATCTCTTCCAAGTCCCAAGCACTACTCTAGGCCCACTTTGACACATGGCTCTTGGATGGCCTCGCCGCATTTTGGGCACTGCCAGTGGCTGGGCGGCACCTGGTGGCCAGGTAGAGTTCCCGATTGAGGGTTTAGGTTTAGGGTTTCGGGTTTCGGGTTTAGGATTTAGGGTCTAGGGCTTAAGGTTTATGGTTTGGGTTTCAGGGGCTTACAGCTTTGTCAAGGCTTGCCTCGGCGGATTTGTTCCAAGATGGGGAGGCGTACATCAGGGTGCCTGGTTCTGATACTTGAACCCTAAACCCTAAACTCTAAACCCTAAACCCTAAACCCCTAAACCCTAAACCCTAAACCCTAAACTAAACCCGAAGCCATGAACCGACTTTGAACTTCGACTTTCAAGGTTCAGTGAGTTCATTAGGGTAGTTCTCTAAATCAGGATCGCGCTTAAGGCCCTTTTTATAAGGCTGCTGTACTATTTTGGGGATCGAATAGGGACCCTAATTTAGAGAACTACCCTCATGAATGCCGAGAAATTTCTTAACCTGCAGATGCTCTCCCGAAGCCAGCAGAGGGAACGAGGCAGTCAGGGCCAAACAATATCTCTCGCCCAAAGCAGCAAGCCTCACTGTCAATCTCTTACCCAGACCACCGGAAGGATCTAAAAAATAGATCCCCTAATTTGAGACCCTGTACTACTACGGGGTACGTTTATGGAACCCCCTTAGGGGATCTATTTTTTGGATCCTTCCGGTGGTCTGGGTATTAGCAATTCTCCACACCCCCAGGAAGGCGCAAGTGCCACAGGCATCTCAAGGTAATCACATACGCCAGATCCATTCCACGAGCATACCCGTTACCCCGTGCGTCCAAAACCTGTTGCGGCTGTTACACGATTGCCAACTCCTAAAGGGTCCATGTACCCCAAAGGTATATACTTTGGCCTTAAAGTAGTCACTATATAGCTATTTTGGGGCCAAACTAGTATATAGTATTTGGGTACATGGACCCTTAGCTCCCAAACCCCTCAGAAGAGCAGGATCTCGAGACCAAATGCAGGAGCCTGGAGTTCTAACCGAGAGAAGAGTTCGTTTTGAAGGGCCCGAAGCCCTGAACACTAGAATTGCAAGCCCACCGAAATCCCCAAGCTATCGCTGGGATGCCGGGCCATTAAAAGTTCGTACCTGGAGCTTTAGGACTTTGTGCAGAGTTCAAGGTGTAATGTTGAGGACAATGAGGGTTTAGGGCTTGTAAGGGTAGGGGCTGGAGAGTCTGGCATCAAGCGCCCCGTGATGTTGAGGTTAGTCCTCTGATATTGCGAGGGTCGTTTGCAGACGAGGTTTTGGTCAGCTGTGTACTTCTTGTATGGGTTCCAGAGAGATTCCATTGGCTGTTCAGTCCTGCGCATTGCTCCCACAGCTTTCCAGGGAGCAAGGGCCATGTCTCGATCGTGCAGAAATATGTTTGGCAAGACCCCCTACTTTGGAACCTAAATGCCATACATCCTTTCACATGATACTCGCATGGTATGATGTGGCATGTACTTGATGTAGATAACAGGTGTCAGTATGTATGTATGTATGTATGTATGTATGTATGTATGTATGTATGTATGTGTGTATGTAGGTAAGTGAGTCAGCCAGTCAGCCAGTCAGTCAGTCAGTATGTATGTATGTATGAATGTATGTATGTATGTGTATGTATGTATGTATGCATGTATGTATGTATGTATGTATGTATGTATGTATGTATGTGTCTGTCTGTCTGTATGTGTGTGTCTGTGTGCGTCTGTATGTGTGTATGTACGTATGTGTGTCTCCATCTGTTTTCCTATTTATCTATCTATGTATCTACTTATCTATCTACGTACCTATCTAGTTTTTGGATATGAACAACGATAGAATAGAATAAGCGGGTATGCACATGTAAAGAATGCAACCATATGTCATCACTGGGACCTTCGAGGTCCATCCGGTGCCGCAGCTGCCAGCAGGGGTTTGGCAAGGACAGCTTCGGGTTTGGGGACGCAGACGAACACATTTAGGATGGAGGTCCATGCCTTCGCCAAGATGATGGGTGCATGGGTTGAGTGAGTGACGTACGGCAGCACACCAACTCTCTCTGTAACTCGCTCAGATTCCTTGGTTCCGGTGTGGCAGCTGGTTTTCGTTGTGCCACTCTCCGTGATGTGTTAGCTTTGAGAGCTCATGCGAGTCCCTGTGAGTCAGTGAGGAGCAGTCCGGCAACCACGAGTGCACCGAGTGCCAGCCAGGGACTGCTGCAGCCGGCGGTTCCTGTTTGCCCTGCGGCGCCGGCGAGTATCAGCCCAGAGTCGGCCAGAGCGAGTGCATCCTTTGCTCTTCGGGATCCGAAACAGACGATGGCCGAACTGCCTGCAGCCCCTGTCCCTCGGGCACCGTCGGTGTGTTGGGCACGTGCCGACTGTGCCCATCCTTCACAACAGCTGGAAGCAGCCGGACTCAGTGTGTCATGGACTGGTTGCTACTGATGGCAGCTTTGTTGTTTACACTGCTTACGCTTGTGTTCTTCCAGCTGCTTGTGTACATGCCTGGCATCCGTCGGAATATTGCGGACATAACTTGGTCTGCAGTGGACGAAGCAGTCATAGTCACGATGCAAAGCCGGCACCACTTCGGTTCGAGGTTGCTCAAGGTTCGCCTCTATGACACAGGAATCCCTTCCCTTGATCCTTGCCAGAAGACGCCCTACTTCTTCGTCCGTGCCCTCTCTCCCACACAGCTGCAGCTCTATACCGAGCCCAAGATCGCTCTGACGACGCCGGTAGAAGCCTCTTCCGGCACACTGAAGCCCCTGCTGATGTCCGAAGCTTTGGGAACTCGGTTTTTTGGCATCCCGGCCTTGTTTTGGCTGGCCATGGCGGCCTTGGCAATTATCATCCTCGGTAGCCTAGCACCTATCCCTTGGTGGTATTTGCTGCTGACCGCGGGGCTTGGCTTGGCCTCGATTCTGGCGTTGCAGCTGCGAGCCGCGCGGTTGGATGCCCTGACACCCCTGCAGCGCCTCCTCCGCCAGCGCCTCGCCTGGCTCGAAGTGGACGGCAGTCCAAGTGTGTCTGTTCCGTTCCTGAAAAGGCCGACGCCGACGCCTGCTTTCCTGCATCCGCATGTCTTTGAGTCAGGTATGCTTTGCACCTGCGAGCGGCGAATTCACCGACCAGCTGCGAGCCCGGAGGCCTGCGTGCCGTGAGCATCGCGCGGATCCTGCACTTCAATGAGCCTCTCGGAGTGCAACGGAGCAGACTCATGTTGGCGCCCTCTTGCCTGTTCGCAACTCCTCCGAGGTTCTTCAGATCGCTCATTCAGCACAGGACCATCTCCCAACATATATGGTGTGCAGCACGCGAACGCGTACCGACAGGTTGCACTGCTGTAAGATAACATGAAACAAGCGCGGTGTTGCAGGAACATGCACTATGTTTGTCCCATGCTCAGTGTTCCGCGAGTGACTAAAGCTCCCTGTCGGACAGAACCCCTGAAACCGATGCAGGCACCAGCATCATCAAGCCAGTCACAAAGAAGTCGCAACTCTCCTTTGCTGAACTTGCTGGGCCTGGAATCTCGGAGAATTCAGAGCGGCCAAGTTGATCAGTCCGAAGCAAGTCTGATGCACCTTGGGCAAGGAACGGTGGATTGGTTCATCTCGCACTTCTGGGCGCTCCCCTTCCAGGACTTTGCCCAAAGCCTCCGCGCGCACGCTATGTACGTCGGCAGGGACTGGGAAGCGATCAAGTACTGGATGCTTGCCACCAAACTGGCGACCGGTTTGATGGGTTCTGTAATTTGCATCTGGGGCGTTTGTGCCATAGTCTTGTAGGCCATCTGCTGAAGTTCCTCAGACCTGCTATAAGGATCTGTTCCTTCAGTCAGAATCAGTGGCGGCTTGAAGAAGAACTATGCGCCGGCGCTCTTAGAGAGTCTTCCTTCTATAAGGCCCTCATGGCCCCCAGCTGCCAGGACGGACCTTGCAGAGAAACGTTCTCATACTTCTTTAGGGTAGCTCGAATTATTGCGAGAGTCGGATATTATCCCCGGCCTCTCAGGGTACCGGGATGATGATGGACTCAGAGCTCACTCCATTGAAGAGGCATCCCGTCTCAGAGCTGTCCGAACACGCGCAGGGCTCTTTGAACGCGCGCTGCGGAGGTCGTGGTGCCTCTTCGAGATGCTCCAAACCTTCAATTTACATGAGCGCGGCCTGAACCAGCACCGTCTTGCGCCCTTCATGGGCCTGTTTTTGTACCTTGGATGGCAATTTAGGACCTTTCCCAACACGAGAAGCTGAGAGGACCACCAAAGTCATTGCTAGAACGAAATCTACTCCGACCTCAATTTACAAGGTTCCAGTACTCTTGAGACCTATTTCATCCGAGAAACATGGGGGGGGGACGACATTACTCTTGCTTGCTACTCTTTCGGGTCCGCTCAATCTCACCCTCCACCCGTGATCTTCGGAGGCTCAGCCAAGCTGGGGTGCTGAACGTGGGGCGCGGCAGCGTCGACATGGCGGTGAGAATTGGCAAGCAGCCTGGCCGAGTCTACGAGCCTCCTCAGCTGCTGCTCAAGATGACGCTGACGATGATGACGATGAGTTCATATTTAGAATTGTAGAATCCTATAAGGTAGTCCCAAAACGGAACTACTATGGGGTGATGATGATGATGAGCCAGTGTGCCCGCCACCACGTTGATTGGACAGGCAACATCTGTTGAAATCTCCGATCCATCAGCAGGTGATTCTGTACTTCTGTGTGTCTCTTCATATTTATACCACGGTTGAGGTGTCGACTGTTCTTTTGTACCCAAGGCAGCTCGACAACTTGCGCCTAGAGGATGCTTCTGCTACAGAAGTGGCAGACAAGGCTGTCACGGGACGTTCCGACTTGCCTAAGGGTCTTCGTAGTGGACATCGCTGTTTCGTATCTTTAATGCTCTCGATCTCCCCTGTGTCCTCGCCAGCAGCGCATCGATGACGAGGTCCGGTCTGCACCAGGTGCGGTGGGCTTTAAAAACAAAGAGTCAAGCTGTCATAAATAATATAAGTAGTATATTATATATATGTATATATGTATATATTGTATATATATATATACATATATATATATATATATGTATATATGTCATGGCAAAGTGTATGCAACAAGCAGATGCGTACTGCGCGATCGGGCTGCTCGATCTGCGAAGGTGGTTTTGCCGCCTTCAACTGCAAGCTGCGCGCGGAAATCCGCTTGGTCTTGGAGCAGATGTCCTCTCGGTTTTCTGACGATTTGAGCGAGCTCAACTCGCAGCTCTACGAAGGGGATTCGCAGGACCCCTGATACAGGTACTGCCGGCTCTCAGTAGGCCAGAAGAGTCGGTTGCGAGTGTTGAAAATCAGACAACCCGACCCTGTCATCGAAAAGGCTTCTAAATTCGAGGCTTTGGGACCACCCGACCTGCGTTACTTCGGACCTTCTCGTTACCGTGAGGAGGTGGAGATCCACCTGGCGACCGATCCGGCCCCCGAGCACGAAAATAAGTACTGCTCTTGGACGGGGTAGGAGCGCTCCTTGGGCGGCGTCCACTGCGCACTACCCTCTTTGCATGCCAATGATGCAGTGGCTTGCAGAGGTCAAGCCCATGTGCCAAATGCCAAACGACGTAGTAGAGCACAGAGCTCCGACAACGCAACGATCCTGTTCTGATAGGCTGGTGATGTGGGTGCCGGGTTTTTCGAGGATGGTTGAAGGATGCAGCAGGCTTGCTACAGCACATCAACAGCCCAGTTCAAGCCTAATTCGATGCCTCTCCGCAGTGCTCTCAGCCTGCAGCGTTTACGGTGCCACACGGCGCTGCATTGCAAGCTAATGCAACCTGCAGTCAATGCCTTATGTGTCGAAAACACTGCAGAGATGCCCGATTGGTCATGTATTCTGCTTGGGTTCATTGCAGATGGGGAGTAAAGGCTCACGATTAAAGTGCCCCTGCCTGCCGAGCCTTCCGCATTTCACTGGCAGGTCGCTACAACGGCTGTTACAACGGGGAGATCCTTGAAGAAGTGGTAGAGGCTCGCGACGCCGTGCTTGTCCGTGCACTTTGATTCTATGACGACGTGCGTCAACATGACCCCATGTGCCAGGCACCAGCGGGATTCACCAGGACGGACTC